AGCCTGCGGACTGAAAGGTCCCAGGTTCGATTCCGGTCAAGGGCATGTACCTTGGTTGCGGGCACATCCCCAGTGGGGGGTGTGCAGGAGGCAGCTGGTCGATGTTTCTCTCTCATCGATGTTTCTAACTCTCTATCCCTCTCCCTTCCTCTCTGTAAAAAATCAATAACATATATATGTTAAATGTCCAACGGGCCTGGCTATGGTGGCTCGGTGGATTGAGTATCATCCCCTGGACCAAGAGGTCCCAGGTTCGATTCCTAGTCAGGGCACATACCTGGGTTATGGGCTTGATCCCCAGTAGGGGGTGTGCAGGAGGCAGCCAAACGATTATTCTCTCTCATCATTGATGCTTCTATCCCTCTCCCTTCTGAAATCAATAAAAATGTATTTTTTTTAAAATGTCCAACTCTACTTTCATGAAGCTATTGTCATTACTTCTGCTGTTTCAGCTTGAACCTGTGTATGTGGTTTAGTTTATCACGATGAAAACGACATCGCCTGGGGGAGCAGAGCGGGAAGGTTCCGCCGGCTGGCGACCGGCACGGGGCAATAGGTGAAGTGAGTGTGCTGGGTGGTGGCCTGGATAGGAAGCCGCGTCCCAGCGCTCTGGCCGCCTGCGGGAAAATGAGCTGCGAGGCGCAGAAAACAGAGAAAGCGCTCTCCCCGCTCAGGCAACTATGTATCCTCCACCGAGACAATGACTCCCCTGGCGCACAAGGGAACCCATCAGGAACCTCTCCTGCCTGGATCTCTCCACTGGCCACAGCTCCCAAATTCTTGAGTTTTACTGGCTTTTCACTTCTACTCCAAAAGCTCAGGAATGTCTGTTTCCCTCAATATTGCTAAAGGGCGTAATGTTTCTACCAAAGCTGGTAGAAGATTCTAGAAGAAACTCAGCCAGACCCATCCTTCCTGGGTGGGTGCGAACCCGGCAACTCTCCTGAGCAAGGAGGGAGAGTTTGGCCTGAGGCCTGGTGCTCTGCCCGGGGCGGGCCTGGCGCTCTGGGGCCGGAGGGAGCGCGGCCTGAATTCCCTCCAGGGCCTTCTACCAGCTTCGGTCCCCAGCTCTCCTCCTCCGCACACGACCGCTCCAGGCTGGGCCACTGGCTCGGGCGTTCTCCAGACTTAAACAGCTTTGTAGGGAGCTGCTCCCGCACTCCCGTTCCCGCTGACACAGGGCAGAGGCAGCACCACCTGCCCACACGCCCCTTCGCATGCACCTTTGCAAAGCGGGGCACCTTGTCCGGCAGGTGATGGACGAGGGGCACAGCGGGCTCTGACCTAAGACCACAGGGCTGACCAAGGGCTGCTTTAAACTTCAATATGTAAGTGCACACACGCCACACTTCCTACCCGTGGTTCTCAACCTTCCTAACGCCGCGACCCTGTAATACAGTTCCTCATGTTGTGGTGACCCCCAATTTCATTGTTACAAATTGAACATAATTAACGCATAGTGATTAATCACAAAAACAATATGTAATTATATATGTTTTCCGATGGTCCTAGGCGACCCCTGTGAAAGGGTTGTTCGACCCCCAAGGGGTCGCGACCCACAGGTTGAGAACCTACGTGGTAGGTGAGACACTCCGAAGCAGGTTATAAAGCCTGTGTTCGAAAATGACACATCTCACCGACACCCACTTCCCCGGGAACGGCAGCCTACGCTGCGCGCTGTTCGGGCTCCGCGAGAGGATGCGCTTCTGTATCAACTCCTCGGCCCGTCCTCAGAGCCACACCTTAGAAACCGCAGAACCGAGGAGGCTCCGAGCCACCGCGTCCAAAACCCGACTGCGAAACGCCGCGGCCCGAGCCCCCGGGTGGAAGCGGGAGGGAAACGCGTTTG